TGACATTAACAGAGACTTGGAAGACACTAGGGGCATGTCTCCACATGCCGGGGTATGCACTTGCGGCTGCAAAAATTGCATCAGTACAAATTTGCGCTGCTACTTTTTGCCGTAATGCACTCCCCTGCATGTGCACTTTGGTGTGGGACAAATTGCCCCGCTTTGTGAAAACTGCCCTTTCCCCACTCCTCCAGGCTCTTGGCATGCTGAAGGAGCCAGGGGGGACAACTACAGGAGTGGAGACACTCTGGACAGCAGCCACAGCATATCCCAGGAGGACCAAGCCTCTGTGGCTGCCAACACACGCTCCTCTCGTGTGTGCCATGCCACTTTTTTCACACCTATTTTTTTGCTCCCAGGATTTCCTGGGAGCAAATTTGCAGTATGGGGGCACATTTTAACATTTTGCATGTGTGGTTCGTGACACCACGAAAAGGTTTACAGCACCACAAACTGCACATGTCTGCACAGCTGGATGCTGCCTAGGAGTATAAAATATGAGTAAGTAGGAATTTGAGATTTTAAAACTTGTTTTTTTTCAGATGCCTCTTTTGGGCTAGTCCTATGGACCGAATAAATGGGGGTAGGATTGGGCTCCCTATCATGTACAATTTTGGGCTAGAACAAAGTGAAAACAAATATCACATAAATACTGGGTTTGATCCTGCAAGGGAACAGACAGGGATACTTTGCAGTAATACACGACTTGCCTATTAACACTGGTCTACAAACAAGTGCTAAGAGGGGCTATGGAAACTTCACATTCCAATGGACCACACTTCTCTATCTACTTACCAACCCACTTTGCTATTTAGTTTTCAGTTTGACAGGATTGTGGGCGGGAGGCAGAAGGAGCTGCAGTGTGCATCAGGATCCTTACTACTTATATTTTACTGTATGCGATTGGAGTGGATTCATCCCCAGCTAAACAGAATGGACATTGTCTTGTTACTTCTGACTGCAGCCTGATGTTGAAGGAATCCAGATTTTGAACACCCCAAAACACAGTAATATTTTAACATAGAGGCATAACTAGGACGTTCTGTGTCTTAGGCAGTGGTGGTGACAAGAGCTGTGCCAGCACCAGAGGTGGGGTTAGGAGTGGTGGCAGCAGTAGCTGTCATTCTTGGGCCCCTTTACGTTGGCATCTGGTGCTGGTGACCTGCTCACCCACCCTTAGTTACACTACTGTTTTAATCTGTGTTTTGCATGAGCTCTTAATAAAGATAAAGGAGCACTTTGTGAAATTTGGATCCAGATGCTGGTTGAGAGTTAAAACATTATTGGGTTCTGGTATATTCAGAAACAGCCCAGGTCTTTGTCTGCTCCATCTCTTATGGTCAGGTGTATCTTTTTGTGACTCTACTCTCTGTACAGACTTATAAACATTCATAATATGTAGGCCTTTTATTTTTTTAAATTTTTTTAGCAAGCTGTGTTTATGCTTCAGTACTAAACAAAATCCTAGCTGGTCTTTCCATGAGAAATAGTTAAATAAAACCTTGTGTATGAATAAGGCACTAGTAAATGTTTGCAGCAAACAGCAATTAAAGTCTATATTCTTTAAGAATAAAGCTGATCTCTTTAGGAAATCACCTTTGTATTATGACAGAGTTACCAATGTCAGTTAGAAGGGGATTAGAGAAAGTGCATCTTTTGGACCATGCCTGTGAGGTCTTTGAGAAAGGACCAAACACAAATTCCTGTAAGAGTTTGGAAACATGCCATGCAGTGGTAGTATTCCAGGGAGTTTAAGCAAGAGGAAATAGGATTGATTCTCATCTCAGCTGAACCAAAGCAAATTAGCTTAAGAAGAATGATCATAGATTGACACTGGTGGAACTGAAATCAGAATTTGGTGTACTGGGTTTAATTCATTTGAACAATAACAGTGCTAACCTAGACAGAATGATGGTTATTACTAGGGTGACCATATGGGACAATGTGAAATCTGAGACACTGCCTGGTCTCGTCTCCCCTCCTCCCCACACTGCTGCAGGCTGTATTTCCCAGGTGTTAACAATCATATGTGAAGTAACAATTAGTGTTAACTGGGCTTTCAATTTCACAGCACCTGCCACTGCTTTTGTACCCAGTACCCTGCACCTGGGTCATTTGTTTTAATTTTCACTGGCTGGCTGGGACCAGCCCCCCCAAATTCAGGACTGCCCCAGCCAATCTGGAACATATAGTCACCCTAGTTATTACCTCCTTAGCTACCTTTAAAATGCACAATAATTCTTTTAAACTACTTGCTCATTTTTTGGGTTTTTTATTTAATCCAAGGATGCACTTTATCTTTTGGCTAACATATCACACCAAAACCTTCTGCACTTTTTTGGAGCTGCTGCCATTTGAAAGTTATTAAAACTATTACTCCATGTTTTTACACCAAATGAAATCTGTGTCTGTCAGTCCCATTGTAGGATGACTGACTACTATTTACTGATGAAAGTTATTTAAAAAAAATCATTCTGTTCATAAATCACTGTTCATAAAAACACAGCATACTTAAAAATACTGTACTTTTACATATTTGCTTTTCTCTGGACACCTGAAACAGGGAAATTTGTTCTCTGAGCCCATAAGAATGCACTTATACAATAATAGACAAGAAAGCAGTTGTGACTCTACTGCCCCTAAATGTATCAAATAAAACTACTACATCTAATTTATTCATTTGGTATCCTAAATATTAGATCAATTCAACAATGCCACATGGTCACTGTGTCCTGCTTTGGAAACAAATGTATTAACTTTCTCATTTGAAAATTCTCTTCCATTAATTACTGTATAAAATATACCAATGGATGCTCAATACATTCCCAGTACCAACAATACAAAAGGAAAAATACAGCACTGCTAAATAACTTGGATCTCTTTATGTGTTCTTGATATCAAAAGTTATAACTTTGAACTCCAGAATTGTTGTCTCTCTCATCTTTATGGTTATAGAAAGATGTAACAACAAGTGTATCCCAAGACATAAGATATCCACTTCCAGAATTGTTCTTGCTCCATCTACAAGATTTTCAAATATCTTGCTTTGATTTTAAAAATAGTTTTTAGCCTTGAACATACTGGACCAAAATTGTTGCTAGAGTAGCTCAGCCGAGGTCAGTGAAAAATTACTCCAGGGATGCTTTTGGCCTAATATATTTTAGATTTAGTTTCTCAAGGAAGCAAATCCATTGTCTTAGGAGAGATGGTAGTGGATATCTTTTAAGGATATATGGAAGAAACAAAATACAGAACTCTTCAACACAAAGCCTTCTACTTCACAGCACCTTGAATCACATCTTTCTGAAATACATAAGTTTCCTCTATAAACAGCTGACTATACAGTACTGTGTAGCTTTAAGGCTCTGGGGAATAAAATACAGGTTACTGAATTGCATGGCTTCCTTTAAATCTTAACTAACTGTCATTGGGTTTTAGGGCTATGCAAAACACTGATAATGATATTTAACAAGATCTGAAATTCTGATAATTCAGTCCAATTTAAACTCTATCAACATTTTTCCTTGTGAAAATGGGCTTCTTATTTCCAGAAGTAGTTCTAATTTTGAATTGCACCTACACTCTGAAACATGGCTGCAAAAATGGCATTGTGAGGGTCTGTAGATTGTCTCAAGAACCTCCACAAAGAGTGCACTTTCTACCTGCCAACCTTGCAAATTCAAATGAGATCTAAAAGACAAGCTGGGTATTTGCATCATCCACACCAATAAAGATTTTGCAGGACAAATTAAATTCTCACGTCATTTTCTATCAAGCCAGATTATGGCCTCAATGATATATGTTCACGTGAAATCGGTTTGAATCTTAGAAAAAAAAATGCTTTGTGTTGATGCCCATGGACATAAAGAATTGATTAACTTTAATGGATGGATTTCCTCAGCAGGCGTAAAAATGATTAAAAAATAAGTATTAACAGGTTAAGCAGATACAATTCTGAATAGAAAGAGAAAGCAGATCAATTGTTTAAGACAGGGCTGTTCAACTGGCAGCCTGTGGGGCTTGTTGGCACAGCTGCCAGGGTGTGTCTCTGGACCCTAAGGGTAAAAGCTGCTACTTGCCCTTAGCACTCCACTGCCTGCTGCTGAATTCAGGGTCTTTGGTCTCCGTCGTTGACTAAAATTGGTGGAAGGGGTAGAATGGGGGCAAGCAGTGGCAACGCTCACCTCCTGGGTTCCAGAGCTGCGCCAATGCAGTGGCTCCAGCAGCCATGCTAGTACACTCTCATCTGCCACTGGACCAGGTCATCTGGCCTGTGAGAAGCCTCGTATTTTGCATTCAGCCCAGAGAGCCAAGTGAGTTAGACACCCCTGATCTGCAATGCACCATTTTTATACAGCCATTTTTCAGAGTAGAATTATGCTTTAGGGGGCAGAGCCTTAGCTGACAATCCCATTTTACTCTCTGGAAGTCAGCGAAGCCACACTAATTAATGCCAGCTGACAATCTAGTCGTCAATGAAAATATGAATATTGCATTTGGACTGTAGCCAGTTGATGGGCAAAACATGGAAAAAAGTGAATGAACTTTTTAAAATGAGGAAAAAAAAACATTCCATAAGAGGTGTTCTTAGTTATCAGAGCAATATTTTCCAGATGTGAGACCAGCTGGAACAAAACTGAACATTTTCACTGAGATTTTCTAGTTTTACACAACCCATCACCTTATCCAAACAGTGACATTTAACTGTTTTTTATGCAAAACCATTATCTCAGAAATGATAAACACTTCAGACTGGGAAAAAAATCACGATACAGCTGCCAGGAAAGTCAGTCCTTGACCTTTATGTGTAAGCACCCTCAGAAATTAGGCATTTCCATAAATAAAGAGATATTGGTATAACATAGAAAAAGTATGATGTTTGAAGGAATGAATTCACTTGACCGAAATCCATTTTGTAAGAAGTTCAGTTATAACGAAAGTTTATTAGATGAAAGAAAACCTCTGGAATTATTAAGCAAAAATGAACAAGGAAGCTGGTGGATCAGTTAAATTCATTTTGAGAATACTATAAAACATTTTTAGATATTGATATTCAAAATACCTGTTCATAAATATCAGAATTTACTCAGATTGTCAAATATTTGGAGGGCACAATTTACATGGGAGAACATCAGCTTATACCTGTGTCTTTTCCCATAGGGGAAATCTGTCCTCCACTATGTATCAGTAACAGCTGGTCTTACAATGACATTTCATAGTTCAGCTCTCAATTCTGCCTCCTGGTTTATACTAACCAGGACAGGTGGTAGGGCAAGTTCTAAAACTGAAGGAGAGGAATCAAAGCATGCTTTTAAATGCAAATGTGAAACATTAAAATCAACATCGAAGCAGAAATGACATTCAATGTCTGAAGTAACAAATTTAAAAGTCTGAAATAATTTAATATAGAGAATATAGTTTAGAGAACATTTTATATAAGTGTGCTTTTTCCTAAAAAAAGACATTTTTTTAATTTATTTTTTGCTTTTTTTGTTTACAGTCTTTTGTCTGTAAATATGAAATGGGGTTACAGCCCCAGTGGATGTCTTCATTTGTTATACAGTAAAAGAGTCTTTTTAGTTCACATTGCTCATGGCAGTCTTGTTTGATGCTGCTTTGTTAAGTTTGTGGTTTAAGCAGTTCGGGATTTTTGTTGGTGGTAAACTTTTGGCGTAGTGAGAATACCAGTCCCTTTCAAACACGGCTTTAAGCTGCTTAATGATGCTTGTGCTGTTCCCAGAGTCTGCTTGGTTGATAACAAGGCCAGCTCCAGCATTCTGAGTAAAAGCATTTCCCACCCAATCAAAATTACCTACAAATAAATGAAGGAACATACAATGAGATTGTGAAATGAAATATTAGCCAATTTCTCCAGGGCAATAAAAAAAAAATCCAGTATTTCTTCCCCCATCCCAAACAATTGCAGGGATATGTTGTTGTTTTTTTCTGACAGGTTGGAAAATAAGTCCTCAGTTTCCCCACCATGATATACAATGCAATTCATGCCTACATATTTATCACCTTTGGTCAGAAAGCAAAACAGGTACTTTGCTGTTGTCAAGATGGAAGTCCCCATTCCATATTCAGAAACAACTCATTATTTTCTCATAGACACAACTTATAGCCATCAGCATTGCTAGGGATTATTATATATTTGGCCTAATCAGCAGTTTAAAGTAGAGTAATGCAAATGTTCAGACTGATGGATTGTGGTGGCTGTATATTATTCCACTGAACCAGGGGATCCTTCACAGATTACTGGGTGACAGATGTCAATGTAAGAAAGGAATCACTCTCCCCATTTGAACAGATTTCTCTGTAATTTTATTCCAGTTATTATTCCCTGCTGTTACAGGAAGCCTAAAGTAATGAACATGTCAAGCCCTGGTGATAGCAAGGTAAACAAAAGACACCTGGGCTAACGGAAGACTAGTAAAAGATGCACAACAAGCAAGAATTTCAGGGATTGGTTTGGTTTTTTTTCATTAACTGGACCTCCAGCAATTCCATGAGTCTATACCCAATATCTCAGAAAGAACAATACTACTATTTGGGGCCATATTTCACAACCAAATATCTGAACATACATAAAGTCCTTGAAATAAGACAAAAGAGCACATGTTCATTGAATGCCCCAATCCTTGAGAAGGTATCTGTTCTGAACCCTAATTTTGTCCCCTGACCACAGCTCTGCATACGTAGTATGCAATAATTATCTCTATCTGTAATAGGGCTGGATCCCACAAAGAGATCTGTCTGCTCTTCAGTATTTATTGACGACTACAGGACTTCTAAAACTTTAACGCAGGACACTAAGGGTGAGATTCTATTCCCAGATTATATGTCCAGGAGAATTTATGCATGTAAGTGTGATTCTGTGCTGCCACATTCAAGTCTTGAAAATCCATTAATGCATTCATTTTGTTAACATGCCATTATATGACTCTTAAAACAAAGTCACAAAAATGCAGCAAGTTTTTAAGGTGCTTGAGCAGGATGGAAAAGAATCGTATTTAGGTGCCCGAGTCCGCTAACAAGTGCCTATCAGTGGAATAGGATCTGGCTTTGGGGACAGTCACATCAGCCATGTTAGAAAATTAGAGGCCTGATCTCACATTGTTTTTTAGAATCTTTCCATTGACTGCAATAGAAGCAGTAATTATCTGTAAATTAGGGGTGTGTTTGTGTTAAAAAGTGATGGGAGCAATGAATGTAGAGTCAGATTTGAACTTCCTCACAGATTAGGCATGACAAAATGCTTCAGGGAGTTAATTTAGCTCAATATATTAAGAAAGAGTCAAAATCAAAGGCTGTGGAGATCCAGGGATTTTATTTTATCGTTTAGGTGATTGGAAGTCTGACTCAGGCCCTTGCCCTCACTGATCCAATTGCAGGAGCTGAGCCTAAGGATTAATTTGGCCCCACAGTCACCAACTTGCATAGCTTTCCTTAACAAAACTAATTAGATTGAATATGCAAACTGTATTTCTGGTTGTAGATATCTCATTAATTTTTTAAACACACCTCTTCTGTGCTGTCTTTACTGTATTTGGATTTTTATAATTTAAAGGTACCAGGCTTTAAAACACTTAAAACATACAGTGAAAAACTATTTTACTAAGAAGCCACAGAAACTTTATAACATAGCTGCTCTCAGTTTCTTCCTTTCTCTTTCCCATTTGTCAGTGATCAACCTTTATATTTTCTTCCTCCCATGAAATCCTGATTGTCTGAGGCATAGACTCTTTAAAAGTTACTGTAGAATTGGATAGAAATGGAATTTTTCATCATATTGAATAGAGCCAGTGATTAGCATTTTATCTATACAGACTACGTGTTTACATGTATACTAAGCTCAAATTCTGAATAAATTAACATCAAGCTATGCCAACACATCTAATCCTTAATTGTACAATCAAACATCATTTGTTTAAAGTAAAGATAAAAACAGCATGATCATTGCAGTGATTATGTGATGCTAATTGGGTCAGGACACGACTTGTTTTTTATCTTCATGACTCACTTTTTATACTGCCTTAAAAATATTAAACATCTACTGGTATAGCATTGGCAGTGAGCTAGATGCTTTGTAGCATGACAATGCTACCCTGAATAGCTTAATATCTCCAGAGACAGGCAGAGAAACAAAGAGGATTAGGGGGAGGTGAAGTTTTGAAAAGCAATGTAACGGAAAGGTGTTTAAATATACATTTTGCTCCAGTATTTGGGTATGTTTTATTTTATACATGCATAGTTTTTCCTATTTTAAGAGAATGGTGAGAGATGGACTGAAGAAGTATTCTCGGGAGGACTCCAGGGAGAAAAGAGTGGAGACATTTTGAAGTGGGTCATGGGAGAAATTCTAGATGCCTTCATCAGCAGAATTAAAGATCTAGAAAAGAATACTGGAATTGCCATACTGAATTAGGTTGGTGGTCTGCCTACAATATAGGCTATTATCCTGTCTGAAAGTTGCCTGTACAAGATGCTTCAGACACAGATGCAAGAAACTTTGAAATGGACCAGTATGGAATAACCTGTTCACAGAAGAATTTTTTTCCCTTCCTTTCTGGTAAAAGATAGTTCATGATGGTCAGGTGAGGTCCTGGATCACTGGAAAGGGCAATTATTGTGCCCATCTTTAAGAAAGAGAAGAAGGAGGATCCAGGGAATTATTGACCAGGCAGTCTGATCTCAATATCTAGAAAGATCATGGAATCTACTGTGAAACACCTAGATGAGGAAAGGTGATCAGGAATACTCAACATGGATTCACCAAGAGTAAGGCATGTTTGACCAACCTGATTTCCTTCTATGATATGGTGACAAGCTTTGTGGATGAGGAGAGAGCAGTGCATGTGATATACCTTGACGTTAGCAAGACTTTTAAAACCATCTCCCACAATATTTTCATTAACCAGCTAAGGAAATACAGACTAGACAAAAGTTGTGTAAGGTGCAAACATAATTGGTTGGATCATTGTACTCAGTCAGTATTCATCAATGGCTGAATGTCTAGCTGGGAGGAGGTATCAAGTGGAGTTCCCCAGTTGTCTGTCTTAGGTCTGATTTTGTTTAACTTCTTTGTTAATGATTTTGATGATGAGATTGAGTGCATGCTTAGAAAATTTGTGGATGACACTGAGTGAGGTGGAATTGAAGACATTCTGGAGGGTATTGCTAGGGTCCAGGATGACCTGAATGACTAGAAAAATGGTTGACAGTCAACTGGATGAGTTTCAACAAGGACAAGTGCAAAGCCCTGCACTTGAGATGGAATAACTGCATGGAAAAATAAAGACTGGGGAACAACTGGCTAGGCTGCAGTACTTCAGAGATGGACCTGGGGGTTACAGTTGACCATACATTAAACATGAGCCAGTAGTGTGCTCTTGTTGCAAAAAAGAGTCAACATCATACTGGGTCGTATCAATAGGAGTATCACTTGAAAATCAAGGGAAGTGATTCTTCAACACTATTCAGCATTGGTGAGACCTCACTTGGAGTACTGTGTCCAGTTCTGGACCCTGCACTTCAATAAGGATGTGAACAGATTGGAAAGAGTTCAGTAGACAGTGACAAAAATGGTTAGAGGTCTAGGAAGCATGACTTATGAAGATAGGCTGAAAGACCTACAGTTCTTTAGTCTGGAGAAGAGAAGCTTGAGGGGGGAGATTTGAAAACAGACTTAAAATACTTGAAAGATGATTATAGAGAGGATGACGTGGGCTCCGAGGAAATATAGGTTGGAGATCAGGAGGAACTTTTGGATTATGCTGGTGGTCAAATATTGGAATAGGCTACTTATGAAAGCTGTGGAATCTCCACCCCAGGAATTTTTAAGAAAAGGCTGGACAGACACTTGGTTGGGATGCTTTAGTCAGTGCTAGAATCATAGAATTACAGAAATTAAGGGTTGGAAGGGACCTTGAAAGATCATCGAGTCCAACCCCCTGCTCTGGGCAGGAATACTGCTGACAACAAATTATCCCAGCAAGGTGTCCGTCCAGTCTCCTCTCGAAGACTTCCAATGTTGGGGACTGCACCACCTCCTTGGGAAGTCTATTCCAGATTCTGGTCACCCTTACCATAAAGAAGTTCTTCCATACATGCAACCTGAACCCATCCTCTAACAGTTTATGGCCATTGCTCCTTGTCCTCCCCTGGAGTGCCCTAGTGAACAGTTTTTCTCTCAGCTCCTGATATTCACCTCTTACATACTTATAGACAGCCACCAAGTTCCCCCTCAGTCTTCTCTTCTCCAGGCTGAACAGTCCCAGATCCCTTAGTCTTCCCTCATAAGGTTTGTCCTCCGGGCCCTTAATCATTCTTGTGACCCTTCTCTGGACCCTTTCAAGATTCTCCACATCTTTTTTGAAGTGTGGTGCCCAGACCTGTACGCAATACTCCAGCTGGGGTCTCACCACTGCTAAGTAGAGAGGAAATATCACTTTATCAATGATTTAGATGAGCCCACATGATTTAGAAGTATCACTTCCTTAGCCCTGCTTGTGATGCATCAGCTAATGCATCTCAGTATGCTATTAGCTCTGTTGATTACAATGTCACACTGGCAGCTCACGTTCATCCTGTGATCAGCCATAAGGGAGGGAAAGATGGATCGAGGTAGTCAACCAAAGACTGCAGTGCTGGTGTCATCATGAAGGCTTCAGCTTCCACGATCACAGTCCGCTCTTTGGTGAGGGAGGCAGCGGTCTGCTGGGAAGAGATGGCCTCCACTTCACTTCACTGGGGAGGAAGCTCTTCTCAGCCAGAATGGCTGACCTGCTCAACTGGGCTTTAAATTAAGCC